AAGTGCCATCGTATTTGGCCGAGACGCAAAAATTCCAGTATTTTATACCACTGGATGCCATAAAATAATGGAACTTACATTACCTATTTTTTAAGAATTGAGTAAAAATAAAAACCCAATTAATTAATTAGGTACCTGAAAATAAAATTTAAGTATTTACTATTCTAAAAACTACCATATTCAACTGAGCCCCACTATGGTTGGAGCTCAGGTCAGAACATTTTGAGAAGTTGAGACTCGTTAGATGCACAAAAAAGCAATAGTACAAAATTTACGATATCTACCTGAGCCCCACCATGGTTTTGGGGCGCAGATGAGTCAATTGCAAGAATTTGAGACTTTATAGATGCCCCAAAACAACAATCGGATACTTATGTAAATCCATCTATCTCAGCCCACCATGGTTGAGGCCGAGGTAAAACAATTGTAAGAATTAAACTTTTAGATGCCGGAAAATGGCACTTTAATACATAAAAACAACAAAAATTACTATATCCACATAGGCCTATCCCCATCATGGATCAGACTGAGGTGAGAAAATGTTAAAAATTGGGGAATTTTGATGCCGGAAAACGGCAATTTCATACATGCATACAAAACTAGGAAAATTACTATATCCACCTGAGCCCCGTCATGTTTGAGGCTGCATGAGAAAAAGTTGGAGAATGGCACTTTAATACCTAAAATTTGTTGGGTTATTTTTTAACAATTGAAAAGGGAATGTCATCGGGACGCAATTGCCAAAAAACTATTTTTGGCAGCGAAGGGACGCTACCAATAAACAATCAACAAACTACCGGGTTTCTGGGTTGATTTCAAAGGTACTACATGACTCAACTATTTTTTACTTTAAGGTTAATTGGTAAAAATCGCACACAAATCATACGACGTCACTGACAACGCCGGGGACGGCAATTCGATTTTGAGATTAATTTTCCGAATAATGTTATACTAAATAACTTCTAATGTCGAACTATTGTCTTCAATTGTCTTTGTTGGTCATTCAATTGTCATTTTATCTTTTTTTTTCTGTGATATTACCATTCCCAATAATCTATAAAACACCCACATAACGTCACGTAGATCGATCGGTGGGGACGCCGTGGTGACGCTGGTAGGGTCAAATTTCGTCGGACGGTATCAAGATGATAAACAGTTTCATTGGACTAAATTTCTTGCTTATATTAACCACATGCTTATCTAAGATTATATTGACACTGGTTTCAAACCACGGTCAAGTAAGTTAAAAATCACCTAAAATTACCTTATTTTGCGAATTAGCGCCCCTTAACTGATCATCGAGCCACCTCCCGCCCCCACTTCACCTTTGCGCGCCCCCATCAGCCCCCACCAAATTTCAAGACATTTAGATACGCCACTGACTTGCATGGCCAGATGAATGAAAATACGCAATCGATGTGCCACCAAATCGTAACCAGCCTTCACTATGCTCCCACGATGTCACCGGTGGCCGCAACTGCCAAAAAAACTATTTTTGCCAGCGAATGGACGCTACCAATAAACAATCAACAAACTACCGGGCTTCTGGATTGATTTGCAAGATGCTACATGGCTCAACTATTTTTTACTTAGGCGTTAATTGGTCAAAATCGCACACAAATCATACGACGTTACGGACAACGCCGGGGACGGCAACTCGATTTTGAGGTTAATTTTCCGAATAAAGTTATACTAAATAACTTATAATGACGACCTATTGTCTTCAGTTGTCTTTCTTGGTCATTCAACTGTCGTTTTATCTATTTTTTCGGTGATATCATTCTTAATAATCTATGAAACACCCACATAACAACGTCACGTTAGATCGATCGGTGGGGACGCCGGTAGGGTCAATTTTCGTCGGAAGGTATCATTAGACTAAATTCTCGCTTATGCTACTGCGGCGGGGTTCCATTGTGGCTTCACACACTTCCCCCCCCCCCCGGCAGTCACAAATATTTGACGAATTATGGCGAATTTTTATTACTTATTTATACTTATTATTATTATTATTATTATAACCTTAATTGTAAATTTAGAGCACTGGTGAATATTTATTACTTCGTAATTTGCATAACAAATTATTTTAAAACCATGCTTCCTACGATGTCATTATTTATATATAATGGCACTCGACTTTAACGGTTATTTATATATAATTGGAAGTAAAAACCATTATTTAGATATAATGACCTTGACACGATAACACGTGTGCATTACATATAATGAGTTTGAAGTCCAAGAATTATATACATATAATGGTTTTGCGACAGCTATTATTTATATATAATGAAATGTAAAAGCAGTTATTTATAAATGAGTTTGAAGTCAATTCGTTATATAATTTATATATAATGAATTTAGTGAACAACTTATATATAAATAATTGTAAGTTACTTTTCATTATTTATATATAATGATTTGTTACCTTTTCATTATTTATATAAATGGAATCAGTGAACTTATTATATATAAACAATTGTAAGTTATTTTTCATTATTTATATATAATGATGTGTTACCCCTTCCTTATTTAATTAATTTATTTATTTTAATGAAGCCAGTAACCTTATTATATATAAATAATGTTTGGTTAGCCTTTCATTATTTATATATAATGTAATCAGTAAACTAATTATATATAAATAATGAAACGTTAACGCAATTATTTACATATAATCTTTTTGACGTAAATGCATTATATATAATTAATGGGTGATCAATTCAATTATATGTTAAATAATGAATTATATATAAATAATTTTAGGAAAAACTCCGAATACCTTGCAATTATGTAAAAAATTAAAATCCAATTCGGCTTTGTTCAAACGAAGAGTAATCTTTTCATATTTCCTTAATAAAGGAACTGGTAATCTTCTTGAACTCAAATCCTTGATAATAGAACCAAATGGACGTAAGTTGACAAAAAATACAACGCATTTTAAAAATAACACAAAAGATTTAATGGCAGACATGTTTCGGGTTACCTTCAACCCATCATCAGTTAACAAAAAACAAAACAGAAATGAACCAAATACTCTTGTAGACTATATGTATATAGGCAATTATAAATAATTGTGTTAAATAATAAATTTACACTTGGCGCCTCATACATTTGTAGCTACCCGAAATGAAATAGTAGACTTCAAACAGACGTAGCGCGGTTGTGGAGATCGAACATGACCGAAGCCTGTTTTGTCGGTTATGGCATACTTTATATACCTAGATTTTTCCACGAGCTTGTTGCCTAGTAAAACGTCATTTCCGGTTTTATGGGTAATTACGAGTTGGGTATCTTAAATTTACAAAACTAAAGAGGAGAGGGGGGGGGGGTTTTCCAAAATGAATGTTGTAAATTGTAATTGTTACTTTGCGACATTTTCCAACTATAAATTTTCGAAAATCTGTTGTATTTCTTAAATTTTAACCATGCTAGTATAATAACATAATA